CTCATATATGAAATCAAATGTCCTTAGCCCAGAAAAGACAAATGGTAGTGGCTCTTGTACATTACTCAGTTATGTGGACAGAAGCTAACTACTTGACAGAAGAAAAATGCTGAAATGACAAAAATCTATAACTCCCTTCTGATGTAGTCATTAATAGGGCAGATTTTCATAAGGTCTCAGAAGGCAGAATATTTCATGTGTCTATGCAAATTCCAATTAGGTGCTAATAATGTCTCTTAAGCTATGCAAAGGCCTGAAATAAAAGCTAACTGCATTTCACAGTAAAATCAGATTCATCCTATCCTAGAAACTAATAGTTGAAAGAAGAGTTCTTAGAAAATAGGTCCAGAAAAATAATGCGTCTTGATCTTGTACCTGCAGTATGAGCATAATTCTTTCACACTTTAATAGCCCAGATGAACTTAAAATAAACCAAAAATACTGGGGCCTGGGGTTGAAGGTGGAGTAGTGTCTTAGTCATAAGTGCACTGAGACGTATGGGAATAAAAACATGGAGCTACATTCCCAGCAGTGGCATGAGGGATAAAAACAGAATTCCTGTAGCTTCATGGTGACCTGAAGCTACAGTAGTTGAAGGAGTCGTTAGCATGCAAAAAAATGTAATTAAGGGGCAAGTATTTATGTCAGGAAGAGCTTCTCATTAAATGCCTCCCAGCAATAAATGCACTTACCATGTTTTCAGTTGTCTTTGACATATTTTTGAAAAAGAAAAAAAAAAAAAGAGTGATAAAATTACTTATTGACTTCACTTTCTTTTAGTATGGGAGGCTACTCCAACAGTGAGTTTAGAGTAAGAATGTAAAAACCATAGCACTTTAAGAGTTCCAAGGGCACAGTAAAGAAAATTATATGGTAAGAGCACATTTACTCATTACCAGAACTAAGGCATATAAGAATGTGTTTTCTTCTAGCTGAAAGTGTGCCACAACTGATTTAGAAACATATAATAGGTATGTGAATATACAGCCATCCTTGGAGTTTTACAAACTACTGCTACATTTATTCTATTACATATGAGTTTTCATCATAATATGACCATATAAAAGCCACACACATATAGTATTACTAAAATCTAAAAGAATGTGACTGTGAAATTACTTTCAGGGCTATAGTTTCATTTAAAGGTAATTATGTATGAGACTCATAACATTTTAGTAGTTTTGTGCTCTGGATATTATACATATTCATATCAACCTTTCAAAATAATTTACTAATCAAAAATGAAATGTTTTTATTCAAGAACAGGGCATCATATCAATTCAAAATCAAGGGTGGATACTATAGAACTGCAGAATGAGAGTTGAGGCACTGGCTTTTGAAGAAACTACCCGCCCTTTGTTTTATGCTTTTTTTTTTTTTTTTTGAGACAAAGTTTTACTCTTGTAGTTCAGGCTGGAGTGTAATGGTGTGATCTTAGCTCACTGCAACCTCTGCCTCCTGGGTTCAAGTGCTTCTCCTGCCTCAGCCTCCCTAGTAGCTGGTACTACAGGTGCCCGTCACCTTGCCCAGTTAATTTTTGTATTTTTAGTAGAGACAGGGTTTTGCTGTGAAGACCAGGCTGGTCTTGAACTCTGGACATCAAGTGATCTGCCCGCCTTGGCCTCCCAAAGTGTTGGAACTACTGGCGTGAGCCACTCCGATCGGCTCGCCCTTTGTTTACAAAATCAAATATATTCACCTGGGCATTTCTTCCTCCTTCCCTTGAGCTTACATAACTTTTCCAGCTTAACATTACACCTGCAATTTGATTCCTTCCCCTGATTTCTTCTAATTACCTATGAACAAATTAGGCTTCATGTCCAACAAAGAGTCTTCATTGTACCCTGCTCACTTCACTCTCTCATCATTTCTAAACTTTGGGTAAGTATTCCATGTATTTTGCTCACATAGCCCACTAGTCCATAATAGCTTCCTAGCCACCTTTTGCCCTTATTACATTACTAGAATTGTCTTTCCTTCAAGTGCCAAGATCCCTCAAACTGCTCAAACAATAACTGTTTCTGAGACCTTTTCTTGCTGGATTCAAGAGGGTAAAAGAAATAGATCTGGTGCTTAAGCCATAATGTCACCATTTTAGTAATATAGGATACTTTCTTTCACTTGATGCTTCATAAGTGTATCAATGAATATAATTTTTACTTTTTGATTGCTGCAATTGCCACCAAGGCCTTTAGATTAACAACATATTGTTATGACATGACAATTTAAATGTCTCATAAAGTCTATCACAAAGGAATTTCTCTTTACATTTGTTTCAGAGTCTTTTGAGAGAAAATCACAATAGTGAAATATAAAGGAAATAAGAGCTACTTTTTAAAAAACAGAATATTTAGGATTGAAGAATTGGTCATCTTAATTTTGTTTCAATGGATTATAAATGTAATTCATGTTTGCTCTGTTGCTTTTTCTGAGTAACATATCCCACATAGAATCTATGCAGATATCTCCTTATATTCAACAAATATTTGCTTATCTTCATAATCCAATATTTGCAATTCATATTTAATATTCTATATCTGTAAATTTGAATTATATATATATAATTCTTTTATAGTGCCATAACTAAATCTCCATCATATGTACAGCTAAATCCTAACTACTTAATTGGTATCATCTTCTGAAGCACATGGTATGCAATTAAAACATTTGAATAACTATTTTAACTGAAGAGTAAAACGTAATCAGTCAATCCTGATTTAGATGTAATTTTCTATATATGGAAATTAGAATTAAACATTAAGAACCACAGCACTTAAAAACTACATATTGCAATGTACTTACTGGTATTGCACAAGGTGGTCGTCAGATTTAACGGAAAGTTAGACTAGGAACCCAGAGAGGAAATAAAACCTGTTGGAGGAAGTGTGAAGCAGTGAAAAAGCACCGGCCTGGGAACTAGGGGCACCAAGCTCTGAACAGACCCTGTCTCTATTGCTTTGTAACCTTTTGACCTTAAGCACAGAAAAGTACGGAAATTCCTCTGTCTCCTCTCTAAAGTGAATCCTCCTTTCCAGAGTCCTTGGAGGACTGAATGCAGTGGTGGATATAAACAACTTAACTCAGTGTCTGACATATAGCAGATGTTAAATAACTTTCAGTTTCTCTCTTTATATATACCCAACCAATTATTTTTCAAGTTAAAATGGAATAAAAAAATGTTATTCCTAAATGAAAAGTAGAAATAAACAGGCAAAAATGTCATCTCACTCTAGAGATGCAAGTTGCCATGGTAATGCAAATATCATCCTACTATTCTCTCTAGTTAGGTAGTAACAGGAATATATTTTACCTACTGAAAACAGCATTTAGAAAAGTTTCAGCATTGCTAGCATTGGTGGATTTTTATAAAATCACTTGTTGGGAACTGGATCCAGCCCAAGGCCTATAATTCTCTTCTGCTGGAAAGAAAAGATAGGGCCTTAAAAGAAGGATTTATCAAAATTGTGAGAGATTTTCCTTACTCTCCCTTGAAACACTAATCAGGATATTTCCTGGCTTCAAAAATAAATTTCATTTTCATGATAGATTGAAAGAAGAGGGTAAAAAGTGTTTGGTCCATACTGCTAAGTTCAATATTATATTTTCTTTCTAAGTAATTTTTGAAATAAATGTGTCACTTATGCAAACTGTTGAGAACTGTCTCTATGAGGGAACTGCTAAAGGACAACCATCTGTACTACATTTTAATCACCAATAAACTGAGTAGCAGATGTGGAACAAAGAACTGTGATTCAGACTGACATCAGTGTATGAGAAGTGTATTTCCTCTCCTGTTTTGAGGATTACTGAAAATGTATATGTTCCCTACACTACTCTATATTTTCCTGTCAATATAATCCCTCTTAGCTGAATTCTCGTTTTATTTTCTAAAATATTGCTATTTTATGAAAGAATTACTTGAACAAGTATGTCATTTTCAGCTGTGCCTTTTCATAATAAAAATATGATGGTTTTGCAAAGTTCCTAACATTAAATAATACATTTGTATTAGCAAATAAAAAAGCATAACACAAACATTAAATAATAGGACAGTAAGTCTGTAAAAACTTACAAACAAATGCACAAGCACACATATATGAGCATAGATAAGATCAGAAAGTGTTTACAAGCATTCACAGTGGCTGAAATTGATGGTGAGGGTCACAGGGAACTTTCTTTATTTCTGCCTATTTCCTGCATTTTCCAAATTTTCTGCATTAAACATGTATTACATCTTACGTTAAAATGTGTTTTATTGTTAAACAGTGAATAACTATTAGTACACATTCTATACACATAATTATAAAAACATTCTAGTTTCTACCTGCTGATTCTGCAGAGATGTGAGCATCAGACTTATATGAGGTTTTTAAAAAATTTCGTTGTGAAATAGAACACACAAACATAAAATGTATATAAATATATTTTTGGATTAAAAATAATAAACATTTTAAAATCCCCCACCAAAATCGAGAAACAGAACAAATCAGTACTTGGAATAGTACCTCCTCATCTTGTTCTATTTCCAATCTGTATCTATTTTCCTTCTATATAAATTTTAGATTCAGTTTAACATTTTTTTTGGTGGGGAGAGACTGAGAGTGGTTAGGAAGCACTGAAAACCACCACAGTCTCGGAGGAGCGTAGTTTGGAGAAGGTGGGAGGTGTTGGCAGGACACCTTGGCTCTTTGGAGTGGACTGGGAGGTAGGGAAACACACAAACTCCATTTCCCCTTGCAGGCAGGACTGTAAGGCCGGGGATAGTGCATTGCACAAAGAGTAACAAAGAGTTATTTAGAGGTTGGCTGCATGCGTTGACAATTTTTATCTCCAGAAAGATGAGCAGGAGAGTACCAGGGAAAGCATGGTAACAGGTTACTTTCTGTTTCTCAACCTTTTGACTGTAAGAAGAATATTTATCATGCCCTCCATGCTACAAACTTGCAGAAACTGAGGGTAGCCCTTTGTGTACAGGCTAATTTTGACATTACAAATATCAGGGGAAAGCTGTGAACACAGTTCCCTACTACCACAAATTATACAGTTGAGTTTCCCACATTTGGGGCAATCTCAGGGACTCAGCACACCCAGAGGTCAAAGGATAAACCTAGCCATGGGAAAATCACCTTTGTGATCATGGTATCTCCCCTGCCAGGTAAGAATAGATGCAGTTTAACATTTTTAAGGAAAATCGCTGTTGATCGGAATTGAATTGTACCTATAAATCAAATTCATAAAAAGTCAATTGGTGAAACTGACTTATCCTACCCGATCACATTTAGTCTTCTTTCAGTGTCTGTCAGCACAAATTTGTAACATGCTGCATAGATGCTGCATATCACTGGTTGGATTAATTCCCAGACATCTTAAAGATATTTTCTAAATAATTTTTACTTGTATGGAAATGCAATTTTGTTATAGTGTTTATATTTTTGTAAATTAATTTTTTCTCTTGAACTGTTATTTCCTGGCAGAAATGTGTTAAACATTTTCCATTATGATGGGGATTTATAAATAACTTCATGTAATAATGTCTAATTTTGAAAGTTATTTAATGTACCATTGACCTTTGAACAATGTGACAGTTGAGGCACTGACCCCCCCACCATGCAGTTAAAAATTTATGTATAATTTTTGACTCCCCCAAAATTTAACAATAGCCTACTGTTGACTGGAAGCCTTACAAGTAATACAAACAGTTAACACATATTATTCACATTATATGTTTTATATATGGTATCTTATAATAAAGTAAGCTAGAGAAAATCAAATGCTATTAAGAAAATCCCAAGAAAGAGGAAATACATTTACTATTCACTAAATGGAAGTGGCTCATCATAAATGTCTTTATCCTTTATCCTCATCTTCACATTGAGCAGGCGGAGGAAGAGGAGCGGGAAGAGGGGCTGGTTTTGCTGTATCAAGACGGGGCAGAAGCAGAAGAAAATCTGCATTTAAGTGAACCCAGGAAGTTCCAACTTGTGTTGTTCAAGGGTCAGTTGTATATGAATATGTAAATATGTAATTATCATATACTTCTAGAAAACTAAAACTTTTTTTTGAGACAGAGCCTTGCTCTGTCACTTAGGCTGGAGTGCAGTGACACCATCACGGCTAACTGCAACCTCTGTCTCGCAGGTTCAAGTAATTCTCCTACCTCAGCCTCCGGAGAAGTTGGGATTGCAGGCATGCGCCACCACGCCTGGCTAATACTTGGTAGGAGAATTGAAACTTTTATCAGTATGTAGTCAGGCTTTCTCTCTAGCAATTAATTTTGGCATAATGTCTAATTCTTGTGTTATTATTATAGATATATCAGTTTGATTTTTTTTTTCCAGGTGCAGAGGAAAAATAGAGGAGTAGTTTTTTCTTTACATACTTAAAAAAGCACAACACTGTATTTATTTTTTCATTCAATCTGGCATTTTTTCTTTTCAATTGGTGAATATAATGAATTCATATCAATGATAATATTTTGGACTTCTTCCCATCATTTTTCTGTTCATAATTCTAGAAAATTGAAACTTTTTTTTTTTTTTTTTTTGAGATGGAGCCTCAGTCTGTCACCCAGGCTGGAGTGCAGTGGCTCTCATTCTAATGTTTTCTTTTCACTACTTTGGTAATTATATTCATTAGGCTTATTTATAGTAATTATATAACTTTTAACTTGCATGCTTAATAATATATGCAGTATATCAATCCTGAATATTATATATAAGATTATCTCATCCTGAATTATATATAAGAGTGCTTTAGATCTGACTGCATCTTTCAATTCATAGGCTAGCTTTGTTTAATATGTGAGATCTACATATTCTTGACACCCAAAATAAGTATTGGTATCATTATTTTAATTTTTATTAATTTCTTATATCTCAAACTTTCTACTTAGAATTAATTTTCAACAATCAGAAACATACCTTAAATTTTTTTTTATCAGAATGGTCTGTAGGTAATAAACTCTGGTAAATTTTGCGTCTTTTTTTCCTCTTTCTTTTTATTTCACTTTATTCTTGATTTGCATTTCACATTTGCTGAGTTATATGGGTTTTTTTTTTCTCCTGATATTTTGAATATATATTTATATTGCTCTCAGGCTTTTGTTCTTGCTATCAAGAAGTTGGTAGTCCTTTCTAAGTGATCTGTCTTTTCTCTGTGAATACTTTTAAAGATTTTTCTGTCTTTGGTATTACATACTCTCAGTGTAATATGGGGTTTGTGTGTGTGTGGGTGTCTGTGTGTGTGTGTGTATGTGTGTGTATGTATGTGATTATTCCATGTGAGATTTTTCGGGCGTCTTGATATGGACTTGGTATTTCAACAGTTCTTGAAGTTGTCAAACATTATCTCTTCAAGTATTGCTAGATTTCCTTTCTCTTTATTATTTCCTTCTAGAACTCAAGACAGATTGGTATATGTTAGACATGTTCATGTGATTCTTAGTTTTAATTAACAACTCTTTTATCATTTACATTTTTTTCTCTGTACTGCAATTTGGATATTTGGTTTGATACTCCAGTTCACTAACTTTTTGAGCTGCATTTAATCCATTCTTTGTCTATTTTTAAATTTCACTTATTTTTATTTATAGTGTTTAATTTTATTCTTTCCAAGTATGTTGGTCTTTTAGAAAATCCATTCTTATTTATTCATAATTTATACTCTCTATTTTTATAATATGTTATTGTTATTCAGTATTCTATGCCTAATAATTTCAACATCTTAAGTATTTTTGAGTCTAAGTCTACTGTTTCTTTTCTCTTGTTTTCTGCTCACACTCATATTAGAGCTTGTGTATTTGTGTTTGTGTGTCTGTAATTTTCAACTCTAAGCTCATATTTCTTAGACCTTCAATTCAGAAGTCTTTAAAGGCCATTGTTAAAGGTACAGTCTTCAACACAGGCTATGTATTTGCACTTAGGGGGTGCTACAGATGGAATTGTGTCTTCCTGACATTCATGTGTCAAAACCCTAATCCCCAGTGTGACTATATTTGGAGATAAGGCTTTAGGGAAATAATTGAAGTTAAATGAGACCATAAGTATGGAAACCTAATCCAATAAGATCAGTGGCCTTATAAAAAGAGAAGGAAAGAGAAATGTCTCTCTCTCTTCTCTCCAGTATACAGAGGAAGAGCCATTTTGAGGATAAAGCAAGAAGACAACTGTCTAAAAGCCAGGAAGAGAACCTTTATCAGAAAACAACTGTGCCAGAATGCTGATTTTAGATTGTGTAGTCTTTAGAAAAGAAACAAAAAATATTTTGTTTAAGCTACCCAACTGATGGTATTTTGTTATGGAAGTCTTAGCAGACTAAGACAAAGAGCATTATCAACATAATGTCACTTTAAATTTGATTCTCATTTTGAAGCGTTTTTGCAGACCCAGGTTATATTTACAAGTTTTCAGGGCAAATTTATTCTCTCTCCGTTCAGTGCCAAATTCTAATCAAGCAAATTCATTCCCAAGTCATACTGACACTCAAGGTAGAGCATTCCGGGAAAGAGAAGTAATTGCTGAGTAGCCTCTCCCATCATGAACGGACAGAGAAAACGAAAGAAATGAACAATAGAAATGAAAGTAAGAAAATACAGTACAGTGGATGGACTATTTAGTGAAACAAAGAAAGAGAGTGATAGAAAGAAAAGAGAGAGAGTTCTAAATGGAGAACACAGCAAGGGAATGGAAAAAAGCCTATAAAAAGTAGTACAAAGAGTCGGCACATCCCTAAGAGCAGAAGTAATGGGTATATATTGAGCTATGGGAAGAAAAGGGAGAAAAGTTGCTTATGTACAAGTTCTAGTGCATGCACGGCACTGTCTATGCATACTTACAACGTTAGCTCATTTAGTCTTCTCAGTGGTGGTGTCAGGTAGGTATTCTGGCCTTCAAAATACTTGATGTTTTCTGAATCTAAAGCTGCACTGTTAAAAATGATAATGAGTAGCCACACATGGCTGTTTAAATTTAAATGAATAAAAATCAAGTAAAATAAAATTTAGTTGCTTATTTGTACTAGCTACATTTCAAGTGTTCAATAGCTGCATGTGGCTAGCAGCTCCCTATTTGCATAGAGCATATTGAGAGCATTTTCATGATCACAGAGACTCTACATTCATCTAAAGTGGTTCTTCAAAGAAATTCTTAATAAATAAATTTCTTATAATTCTGGCAAGGCATTGTATCTAGATGTTCCTCAATTTTCAAGTTTTATGCATAGAAGAATGTACATATTATAGCAAGCTTGCAAAAAGTGTTTAGCATACCATTTAAAAAGTTAATATAATGTCTAACCATTATTTCTTTAATGATGAATAATTCAATAAATAAATGTGATATATCCAGTAATACCATTTCTCAGTCGAATAGTCCAGACTGCTTTCCACAATAAGTGAATGAATTTACATACATACCCAAAAGAAAACAAATCATTCAACCAAAAAGACTCATGCACTCCTATGTTCATCACAGCACTATTTACTATAGCAAAGACATGGAATCAACCTAGCTGCCCATAAGTGGTGAACTAGATAAAGCAAATGTGGTACATATACACCATGGAATAGTATGCAACCATAAAAAGAATGAAATAATGTTCTTTGCAGTAATATGTATGCAGCTGGAAGTCATGATGCTAAGTGAATTAATGCAGGAACAGAAAACCAAATACTGCATTTTCTCGTGTATAAGTAGAAGCTAAACAATGTGTACTCATAGACATAATAGATGACAACAATAGAAACTGGGAACTACTAGGGTTGGGAAAAAGGGGTTTAAAAGTAGCTCTTGGTTATTATGCTTAATATCAGGGTGATGGGATTAGCTGTACACCAAATTTCAGCATCACACAGTAGTACTCAAACCCATACATGTACTCCTAGAATCTAAAATAACAATCAGAAAAGGAAATGTAATAGTTTTAACCTGAATTTTGTATTGTTTTTATTCTAAACATTTAATTATATACTATTAATTATAATCAGTATTTTCCCTCATTTAAGGGGCACACTTGTTATCCTTTTTGCTTGGCTACTCCATGGTATTAAAATATCCTAATGCATAATGCCAAACAGTATTTTCTTTTTACTATAATATATTAAATCAAAGTTAATAGCTTTTTTTTTATTGCATTTTAGGTTTTGAGGTACATGTGAAGAACATGCA